CAGAGAGGCTTCCACCTGATGAACAGCTGTTGGTGGGAACAGGCTGGAATGTGTCTGGGGCTCCCTCCAGAAAGGAAAAGAAAAGAAAGCCACCAAGGGTGAGGCCTGATGGGGCAGGGAGACACTTTTCTAAAGATCCAACCTGATCATCCCCCTGATGGTCCTTGCCACAGGGCACCCACCGCTGTGCCTGAAAATGTGTACAAATACTCCCTGGAAAGAAGATTTCCCACTTATTTTCAGAATCCTGGAGTTTGATGGAAATGACGGTTGTGAAACGATTTTCACCAACACAAGATCTTGCTGAAGGCTGAAGAGGAAGTTGGCAGTTCAAAGCAAGAGACCTGGTTCTGTAATATTTCAAGATTTGCACTCAAAGTTCTTACTCAGGAACTAGGCACCCCCCCTCACACCAAACAGACACCTGACAGTCATCCCACCTCTTAACATGAGACGGGAACATGTGTGGTACCAGTTAAAATTAGCTTCATGAATCCAAGCAGCTCTGACTGGAGCAGATTTGCTCAAAAGCTTTTGGAGCCCCCAGTGCCTAGAGACTAAAGCCTCAGCTGTGGGCTGGCCCCAGAGTGCTTCCCACCTTCCTGTGTCTCCATCTGCCTGTGAAGCCTGAGATCCACTCCACCCTGTGCTGGAGCCCAAGCTTCAGTCAAGACAGTCTGGTCCCCTCCATTGCCCACCTCCTCCTTCATCCTTCTGTTTTGGCCTGGGCTTCTCTCCCATTTGGTTGTGAGCTCCTTAGGGTCAGGAGCAACGTCCATGCCATCCACATCTGCCTGCATGCCCTGGGCACACCGACGTGGAGGAAGAGTTTGGTGAACTGGGCCATCTGCAGCTGGCTCTATCCCACACTCCACACAGCAGCAGGAGCAACGGATTTCTAAAGATCCAACCTGATCATCCCTCTGATGGTCCTTGCCACAAATGTGCCAGAGCCAAAGCTCCTCTGCAGGGTGCAGGAGGCTTGCCAGCATCTGCCCTTCCTCCTGCCTCACTTCCTACACTCTTGGGAGCCCTCCCTTGGGCTCTATCTCCGTCTGCGTGGGAGTTCTTGACCTCCTCCTTCAGCGGCTGGCGGGCCATCTGCTCTTCCTGGCTCACTTCCTCCTACAAACCTTTCCACTCTGCCAGGACACATGCACCCAGGCTTCTGCCCCGACTCCCCGGCACACACCCTGCCTAGTTTACCAGATTTGGAGGATCCTTGGGGACAGGGATAATTTATCATTGCATCCCTAGCACATCTCCTAGAGAAGACATGGTAACCATTACAGTACAAACCAACCTCTAGGTTGGAACTACTCCACTCTGCTCCTTAGACTCTGAACAGCCACAAGACCCAAGATAGTTCCTTGGCAATCTGTATAGCTAGGTACACACACCAGCCTTGGGTAGCACTGCAAGAGATCCAAGTTTCCCTCCCCCTTCCTCGGCTCTGAATGGCATTACAGTGCCTGGGCAGAGCCAACTGGCTGGCTTACAAAAGGCTGGCACTACAGCAGGCAGAGGACAACATCTGTTGCCACTGCACCAGACTTCCACCACGGTGACCTTTATTGGGTAGCTACACGATAGCAGAGAACAGGTCGCTGCTGCTGGAAGCTCCCAGAAGACCCTCTGACATGACTGCAAATGCACCACATCTGCTTCTGCCTGGATTCTGCTGGTGGTAGCAGCCACTGGGGCCTGGGAAGCCATCCTTCTCTCCCAGGGTCAGAAGACCCAGAGGTTGTGTGTCCTCACACCTCTCTTGACAGTATCTCCAGGCTGCAGAGCTGGTGTGGCCTTCCTCTGAATCCTCACCACCCCGGATGCTGTGCACAGCTGTCCAGGAGACTGCGGTACTCAGTGCACTTAAGCTTTTCCTTGGCTGGAGCTGTCCCCGCTGTCCCCAAGTTCTGGGCACTGATGCTTCCTCAGGGCATCCTGTGGCCATCCAGTGAGGTCAGACAGCTGTCAGCGAGCATTAGGAAAAACACGGTGGAGTGCCCCTCATGGGGGAGGGAGGCGCCCACTGTGCTCCAGGAGCTGGGACCACCCCAAGTCAAGGGCCAAAATCCCAGGTCAGTGGGGCTGAGAGGTCTGTCACTCGGGTTCTGACTCCAGTGTCTGATCGTGAGCACCCTGGCCAGTGTTCTAGGATGTCCTGTGCAGCCACCAGGCTGCAGGTTGATTTCTCAAGGAGAACCGGAGTGTGGTACCTTGGGGTCAGCTCTCTGCAGTTTGAATGGGCCACCGCAAGGCGGCGGATGAGCAAAGCCCTGGTGCACCCTTCCATTCAGCCCACAGGAGTCATAGCACACACTTCTCTGCATTTATGTGGTGGACAGCAGATAAGAGGGTACTTCAGATAAGATCACACAGCAATATTTTGCACAAGGCGAGGTCTGAATCATCTATTTATAAGTGGGCATCTAAAGCTCAGAGAGCTTAAATGGCATGTCCACAGAGCTTCCCTCCCCAGTGGCAAAGGACCAGGGCTGCAACAGCAAGTCACAGTCAGTTCCATGTAGCCAGGTGAGTCTGGATCCTACACTGGGTCAGATCATCAGCATTTTTAAAAACTGATAACTGAGACTCAACAACTCCAGAGCCATTAGGGTCACAGTGCAGCCTGCCATCCAGCAGCACCGGCTATCCTGGATGCTCCCCAGGAGGGCAGCCTCTCAGGCCACCCAGAAGCCCTGCATCCGATGGCCTGGCTGGCAAGCCCAAGGAGCTCTGAGCCAGGGACCTTCACCTCCCTCTCTGCTGCACCTGCCTTCTATGGCTTCATCTGGGGATAGCAGCTGAGTCGGAGAGGGCTTGGAGAAAGAAACTTCCATCTGACTGCTTCCTAATAACTAAGGAAACCCAGCTTGTCTGCTAGGCCACTCTCTGTGCAATGGGTGTCTTCTGGCCTCCTGTCTCCCAGCCCCCTGCTAAGACTGCTAGCCAAGGATCCATCTCCTCAGCAGGTCCTACATCTGCTCTCTCTCATTAACTCTGATAAAGGCATGAAGATAGAAGATGTCATTTCAGTGTTCCTCCATTCTGACAATGCAAAAGCTGTTGAAAGCACTCCCCATCTGAGCTGTGACAGTCATGGTTTCCTTAGGAGGGTCTGTAGTGACATTCAAATTCTTCTCTCCCTTCCTAGAGGAGACTCTTCTCCCTTCTCATGGCATGCATGGCTTCACCAAATATCCAAACCTGGCTGGAAAATGAGCAGCTCTGCTCAGCCACAGGCTAACAATTAGAAAGATTTTTATTGGCAAATAGAGCTGAGCTTTGTGAGAGAAACTGGGCTCAGTTTTAAGTGGCTTCACTAATCAACGTAGAATTCTGCAAACTCCTCCACTTTCTCTAGTGAATGCACCAGTCCCTGCAAGGTTTTCTAAATTCTTTCTGGATGCTTTGTATAGGAAGGCACCGACTGAAGTCAAGGAGTGCTGTCTTTTCATGCAAAATGGGCCCCTTTCAGTGACATTTCTTTTTCCCTACCTTGATCTTTCAACCACCACTGAGCTTCACTCCTTAGGTGTAGTTTCCAGCCCAACAGTCTAAATGTTGCTGGGGCTGCCCTAAGTGGCCACAGTGCCAGCCTTGTCCCCAGGCACAGCCATGGCACCTGCTCAGGTCAGTGGCTACTGTTGAAGAGGGGGTCCTTCCAGCAGGAGCAGCTGATGCCAGCAAGGAGCCTCCATCTCTGCTCCTCCAGTTCGTTGTGGAGAAAGGGCATGAGACTTGCTTTCAGGCCTCTGCTAGGGGCATTCAGTGCCTTCTTGGCAATTTCCAGCTGGCTCTGAGCAACTGGTTGAAGTCAGCCCTGAGGATGCCCCAGTCCTGGGCTCTGTGCACCGCACCTCATCCCCAACATTTGTCCCAAACCCTTTCCACGGAGGGGACATACAAGGCTGGCTGGGTGTCTCAGCTGATTGAGGGTGGCTCCCCAGGGTCTGTTCCTCCAGAACTCCTGCTCTACTTTACAAACTGGTCTTCTAAGGGAGCCAGGACCTTTAAGGACTATGGCACCTGCATCTCAGTCTCTGGGGACAGAATGGTGAATTCCCAAGAGAATTTTGATCCCAATCTAGAATTCCATTTCCAAACCACTTTCCTCCTTGGCTCCAGTGATGGGCTTAGTTAATCTGTGGCTTGGGAGGGCAACTTCAGGACAGGGCTAGGGTTTGAAGTGGACATTCGACAGGACTTGGCCATTTTGTAGGGGTATGTGTTGGGGTGGGGTGGGATGAGGTGAGGAAGAAGAAGGCACTGGTTGTCATCACCTCAAAATTTCTGTTCACCTCTGGGACTAATAAAAGATAAGTTTCCAGGGCCTATGGTGACACCTTAGCCAGCAGTCTTTCTTGGGGTTTTTGACTGAGACAGACTTGAGCCAGTCCTTGACAGCCCACATGGTTCTCCACCTGGGCAACATGAGGTGCACTATCAGCTGGAGGAGCTGGGGATCAACACCAACAATGGGGCTCCAAGGGAGGGTTGGGGCCTTGGTGGGAGTCGGGCTGTTGCAGACTGAGATGGGGTCAGGTTTCTGGGCTTATTTGGAAAGGGGCATCAATCCCATGTGCAATGTAGTCAACGAAGTCTACACACTGCTCTGCTTCTGGTCTCCACACTGCAGACGCCCAGACCTTGCAATCACATACCAAAGGAGCCAATATCTTGCTCCCAGGCACCTGGCTCCAGGGACTCGAGGTCCTCATCCCAGCTGGGAGGAGCTCTGCTCCATTCCTCGATACCTGGGAAGTACTCAGGCCCCTCTGGAGGGTACTGCCTGTTCCTGCTTCACAGAAAGGAAGCAGCTGGTAGGGCTGCCGGTTGGAGGTGGGGGCAGAGGCTCACCAGCCAGGGTGAGGAGGACTCTGGTTCTGGCCCAGTGAATGAGCAGGTGCATTCAGACTGTCCCTGGCTCCCACCTCCCACCTGGGCAAGCGTACTGGGACTGCCCAGGACAGATGGTCAGGGTCAGGAGGGCCTACCTGTATCTCTGCTTCACAGACTGCTTCTCGGTGGACTTGCAGACATGCCCCGCGTAGTACAACGGAAAGAACAAAAAGTTCCAATTGGTGGCAAACCAGGTGAGGGTGAAGGGCGCGTCGAACTTGGCGAAGGTGAGCTTGGCGAGCTGCGTGGAGCCGGCCCAGGAGGCGCACACGCACAGCACCACAGCCACGCCCCAGAAGGTCTTGTGCAGCTGCGCCCGCGAGCATGTGCAGCGTCGGCGGCTGGTCCTCCCGCTGGCCTCTGCCCCGCCCGGCGCCTGGGCCTCCGCCAGGCCGGGGGGCTCCCGGGGGCGCTCCTCCCCTGGGGAAGAAAAGGCAGTTAAGGGCCTGCAGACTGGGTCCAGGCGCAAGGCAGCTGCCGTGTCCTGTGCGCCAGAGCCAGGTGCTGGGTGCCAAAAGTAGACCCATCCCAGCTCCATCGCCCCATTTCCTGAGAGCCTGCTGGAAACGCAGTCTCAGGCTTTCCCCAGGCTCCTAACCAGAACTTGATTCCAACAGTTGACCTGTCTCGGTCTGGGAAACTTCAGAGCATGCTGCAGCTTCAGTGAGCTGGGCAACCCTGGAAGGGACTTCCTACACAGAGGCGGCAGGCCTTGACCTCTACAGAGTCCCTTGCCTTGACAGGAGGTCCTCTGCCTGTTACTGACAGGCACACTCTTACTCTGAATGCTCAGAGACCACAGACCCTTTCTCCATATGCTCGAACTAGCTTCCTGTGGATGGACTCTGGTCCCACTTCGAAGCTTTACTTAAAAACTGCAGCCTCTGGCAGCTAGTGTGTGAGAGGCCACAGAGAGGACACTCCATTATAGAGCTGTGTCCCTTGGGGAAACCAGGCTGCAGCCGTGAGCTGCTCCTGCAGAGTACAAGGAGGTGAAAGGCGTTATTTTCCACTGTTTGCTTTTCATTCATGATTGTGTGTGTGTCAGTAGGCTGGAAAGTTAAACAGATCTGTGGCTGGTATCAGAGTCACCATGGACAGAGGCAGCCCTCCAGCAGGCAGCCCACTTGCCCCAGTGTGCTCTGCCCGGCACTGAGCTGAATGGGCGCCCAGCTGCCAGGGCACCTCACTCCAGGGTACAGAAAATGAGGGTTTCTACACATCTTTTAAACTTAATGGTCATTTCGTGATCTTTAATAACATTAAACCAAATTTTGTATGCTGTCTGAAACAGTTTTATGGAGAAAATCCTGGTTCAACATAGGCTGTTAAGTGGGTGTTCACTAATCCTGTCATTAACTGCCAGCCTAGACTGTGTCTGTCTTAGTGAAAGATCATCAAGTGCTACGTGACTAGTCAAAGGCTGATTCGAAGCCTGTTTGACATGATTTCTGTTGTCTTCATTTTCTGCTTTAGTAGTATGTAATCTCTTGGTTCTCCCGTGTGTGTATATCCATTTTGAAGCCCTGGAAAACCAAGTGTTTAGTCCCCCTGGGAGCTGCTGACACCCACCTGTCGCTGCAGCAGCTGCAGGGTGGGGAGGGCACAAGAGACAGAAAGACAGAGTTCCAGCCTTTCGCTTTCTGTCCTCCCACCAGGACTTCTTAACTTTGCTCGTGGTGAATTCCCACAGTTTAAGGCAAATTCCATTCCTGGTAGAAGCACCCAGATTCAGTGTATACCCCGATTACCTGCCAGTTTTAATCAGCCTCTGCAGCCCTTCAGTACTGGATAACTGGGTGCGTGTGGGGGGCAGGGAGTTTTCTCTCTCAATGAAGCCCAGCCCCGAGCTCCCCTGGAAAGACAATTGGAGATGAAGACCCGGCCTCCCCCTCAAAACCCCCACTTAAGGACTCCGGGGGAGGCTGCACAAATTCAGCTCAGGGCACATTTCCTCAGTTAATGTGCTGTTATGGCAAATTAAGCTTTAGGACACAGGGGCCTGAGTGCTGGTGCTATGCCACATTCCCAGGGAAATAGAAAGCCACCGGATCCTGTGATTTTATGTTGCTGAAATGGCTTTGTGCTTGAGCAGCCTTTCTCTAGCCTTGTGCCCTCTCCAATCCTCCAACCAAGGGAATATCAATAATGCACAAAAAATAGAGACTCTGTAAACTAAACTCATAACTCTTCTTTAAAAATAACATGTAAGATTGAACTGTGTTTTCAAATGTGCAACACAGGTAATAAGAATGATAAGAGAAAAGGAGTCTGTGGCTGCTGGTAAGTTTGGAAAACAATAAATAGAACTGACAGGTTCTTTGCTTTAGGAATCTTTAGGGCACAGACGTGGTGAATTCCCAGGAGGCTGCTACAGCCTGCGTGCCTGCCTGCTATCTTAACTAAGTGGGTAACATCTGTGGTAGGTCCTGGTGTGCCCTGGAACACACTTTGAGAAACAGTGGAACAGATTCTTAAAAAGGAACAGACATCAAAACCTAATTCATTGCAAACCCTCCAGTCACTGCATTGAGTCTCTTATAATAATAATAATCACATATCAGTTTCATCACCTCACATATTCTTAATACTTTCAGATACCTCCTCCCTCTATAAATACAAAATGTTCTTTATAAACACATTATAAAAGTACTGAGAAGCAAGAATGAAAAGCAACCCATAATAAGAGAGCTCTCACTGCTGCTGCTGCTCCTGCTGCTGCATTTTCTACAGTTTCTTGTCTGTGCAGGACACAAGGACACATCAGCAGTCCTGTGCAGGACAAACGGACACAGACCCACTCACTCAGCAAAACCGAGATTGCGTTGTCTCCGTCCTGCAGTCATTTAACCTAACACACCCCAGCACAGACTTTATAAAGCTCTCTGGGCTGTGTGCAGTAACGACTCCCAGGAACATCTCCACCGGACAGGAGATTGGCAGGAAGTATCTGCCCTGTGTCCAGAACTTTAGTTTAGGAACAAGTGCAACATGTGATCACTGTCCTTCAGGAACTGTGGGAGTGACAGAATGCACTCAAAAAAGAATTAAGAACAGTTATGTGCAAAATTCGGAGACTTCCAACCACAACCGTAACCAGCAGTCGTGAAGATAGCATGGCCGGTGTGCCCTGTTAGTGACCAGAGTCAGAGTAGGCTGCAGTGAGGCTGAGCCTGGCGCGACAGAAAGGGTCTGACTAGGGAGGAGCCTCGTCCAGTGTCAGAGCGTGTGTGACCTGCCCAGGGGCAGCAGCATCATGGACCCCACCCGCCCCATGGGGCTGCTCAATCATGCAGCAGGAGAAACTGCCAGGTTTGTGGAAGGGACAGGAGCAAATCCAGATGTCAACGGACCTTCCTTTCGGAAGGAAGTGCAAGCAGAGGGCTGAAACGTGGAAGAGCAACACCACAAACAGTCCTCAGGCACTGTTTTTATCCACCATTGAAATGCAGGCCAAGTTTCCCCAACTGGACCTCAACTGAGCTGTCCAGGTATTGCCCAATAGGTTTCAGACATGGAGTCACAGCAAGGAGGGCTTATCCCTCCTCAGAGCCTCTCAAGTCTTCAAGTGCAGGAAACTTTTGTGACTCCCCCTCCTAAGGTTCAGGACAAGTGCTGCCGGTTTGCTTTCACTCCATTAGAGCCGAGAGAGGCAGTGCCTCCAGGAAATCAATAAGAATGAGCCTCACGCAGCTCTCTGGCCATTAGTGTATGACTAGAGTCCCGTTGTGTCACCTTGGTCTCACTCTCCACCTGCTCTGCTAGCAGACCATCTGCTTAGGATTTTCTTGTACCTTGATTTCCACTCTTGTCCTGCAGGCAGCAGCTTGGGAGCAAGACACAGATCACACCCTGGCCCAATGGTGGTGCTGACAGATTCTCTGTGTGGTTCCAAGCATCTCCCTGTAGCTGTGTCACTGCTAGATGCTCTGTTTAGGCCACTTAATCCACCCAGTCATCTGCAGGGCAGGTGGGCCCTTCTAAGCACTGTTGCCAGAATGGTGTGTATGTGTGCGTGTGTGTGTGTGTGTGTGTGTGTGTGTGAGAGAGAGAGAGAGAGAGAGAGAGAGAGAGAAAGAGAATGTGTGAGTGTGTGTTTGGAAGTGTGTGTGAGTGTGTGTTTGGAAGTGTGTGTGAGAGTGTGTGTGTGTTAGAGTATGTGAGTGTGTTGGTGTGTGAGTGTATGCATGAGAATATGTGCGTGTAAGTGTGTGTGTGATGTAAGACAGTGTGTGGGACAGTGTGTGTGTGACAGTGTGTGTGTAAGTATATGTGTGTGGGGGGGCGTGCCCTCTTCTGCACAGGGATACTCCTTGCACTGTGACACATCACCAAGCCTGAGCTCACGAGTCCCTCTGAACTGTCTCAGAATCCTGAGGGTTGCCAGGCAAACTGGGTGTCAGTCCCACCTCCCCCACAGTCACGATGTATGCCAGTCCCTAGGGGAATTACAGAGGAGTCACATCTGTTCCAGAAGAAACAGGACCCAGAGGCAATGTCCAGATCACAGAGGGTGAGCTGGAGATCTAGCCTAGCCACTAGCCCATTTTGGGTCCATGAACCATCCACTGCTTTTCCCTGAGAAAATGACAAATTGGGTGCTTCTTATGTCCCTGTGGTGGAAGCCATTTCTACAAGGAGAAAGCCATTTAGGTTGGAAAATCATTTCCTGTCTCCTGAAATGGCCTATAAAATGGCTCTTATGTGCTTCAAGAAAACACCAATGTCTCTTCTACCAGCTCCCTGGGAACAAGTGGGTCCTTGCTGACACCCTCCATGGAGAAGTCCCCAGAAAGAGCCCTGTCCTTAGGGTAAGGGTCTTAGGGCCAAAGACACCACGGGCTGGCATGGCCAAGTCTCCCGCAAGCAGAGAGTGGGAAAGGCCTCTCAACTGGCGTCTGTGTCCACAGGACCCACACAGATACTTTTATAGCTTTATGGAGGTATAATTTTCACCCCATAAAATTCAGTAATTTTAAGTGTGCAGTTCAGTGATGTGTAGCAAATGCACAGAATTGAGAAAAACAACACCATAGTGCAGAAGTGCATCACTCAAAAATGAATCCTCCTGCCCCCTATTGCCAGCCTCTATCCCTAGGCCACTGGGATCTGCTTTCCTTCTCTAAAACTTGAGTATTCTGGACATTTCATACAGACCTGCAGACTCCCACCTCTGGCTTCTTTCATTTAACAGTGTCTTTGGGGTCCATCTATGTTGTAGCCCATGTTAACTGTTCATCCTTCTTAGGCTTGTGTAGTATTCCATTGCATGGATACCACATCGTTTATCCATTCATCTATCAGGGCAAATGGGTTGCTTCTAGTTTGGGGCTATGGTGAATAATGCTGCTATGAGCATATGAATGTCAGTCCTTGTGCAGATGCATAGATTTATGTTCATAGGGACTAGTTCATATGGG